ATTTATATAAAGCGATAAATTGCGAAAAGTAAAATTACTACGCTATTACATCATTAGGGGAGGGGGTGTACAAATTTACAAATGGGGATTTCAAGAAAATTAAACCTAATTATCTATTACAACCATATTGAATATTGTACATAATTGAAAATAAAATGTAAGAATATAAATGGAAAAAAATAGATGATTTTTGTTGTTTTATGAAAGGGGTTTTTTGTCTTGACCTAATTAAAGAAAAAGATTAATTAAAATTAAATAAAATTAAATTAAACTAATTAAGAAAAGAAATTAATTTGAAAAGGATTTTTAGGGCTTTTTATGAAAAAGGTTTTAAATTAATGAAAATAAAATGAAGATTAATTATAAAAATAACCTAAATTCTAAATTGATTTTAACTAAAAAATAAAATAATATATTAATTTATCCTAAGTCTAAGAATTTATTTAAGGAGAAAAGAAATTAATTTATCTTTAAGAAAATAATTTTAGTCTTTTGTTTTATGGAAAATAAAATACATGAGTATAAAAAAACATAAATTTAGATTTTTTATGATTTTATAAAAATAATAATAAGAATAATAAGAATAATAAGAATAATAATAATAATAATATTAATAATAATAATAATAATAATAATAATAATAATAATAATAATAATAATAATAATAATAATAATAATAATAATAATAATAATAATAATAATAATAATAATAATAATACTGAAGAAAAATAAATATAAATAAAAATATAAAGAAAAAGTCAGGGGGGTGAATTAGTAAGCCAAGGAGTAATATGAGAAAAAAATACTCAGGCCCACATGAAAAGCCCAAGTGCTGCCAAAAAAACATAAAAAAGTCATAAATTTGTGAAAAAAACGCAAAAGGTCATGATGGGGCTTGAACCCAGGACCTAAGGGTGAACAGGCGCGCGCTTTACCACTAGGGTGGCTATACATCCGTTAATATAAGCAAAACAACAAATACATAACATCAATCCAGTCCTGAAAACAACTTCATCTTCAACCTCCAGCCAAAGGACTTGTATCTTCTTCATCTCTCAACAAAAATGAAAAGTTCAAACATGAAAGTTGTGGCATTTCTTCCCACGAATTCAACCATGTAAATAACTTAAGCTAACAATCAAAGATGAATGAGAATTTTTCTGGCCCTAATTTAAAACCTAAAAATTTCAGAAAACTTCAACTCTAAAATTCTCTAAGCTCAGGCCATAAAAATGTAAACTATGGATATGTACAGTTTCGAGGCAACGGTATCTACATTTTATCTTCATAAATAAAGACCTAATAATGCCTAAATATGAAGATAGAAGTTCAGAAAACTCACCTTACAGCTGGAGATCGTTTTTTGAGTTAGAGTTGTTTTCAAAGTGTTTTGATGATTGGGTTAGCTTCCTTGAACCTCCAGGAAGCTATTGCAAAGCTTACTTTATACTGAGAGTTCTTGAATCAAGCTGAAGAAGTCAATGTGTAATTCCCTATTTTTGAAAATGGAGGATGGTGCAAATGGTATTACAGTTTGAAAACAGGGGTTGGGATAACTTCTATATGTGTATTAGAAGCTTTGTGGATGGTTTGGCCAAGAAACGCACGAGGGGATTTGGAGATTGGGTTCAAAAATCAGAAATGACAAGTTTTTGTGCTTGTATGGAAATTTATGGTTTTGGAGAGTTTGTGGGCTTGTTTTTTCGTGTGTTATCTTGCAATACACTTGTATGGTTAATTGAAAAAGATTGGTGCACTTGAGGAGGTCAGAAAAGCAAGATATAGACTTATGCCTATGTTACTTAATTTTGAAGAAAAGTGACAATATGGTTCCAAGATAAAGTACAAGCATGGCCTGAGTTTATGGGAGGCTCTAGACATGTTGCTTTTGCCTTTGACATTGCTTGTGATCAGAAGGAACAAGTTAGGATCTCTATGCATTGACTTTGTGATTAAAGCCTCTTTGCAAGAATGGAATGGTTACTCTGTGCCATAAATGGAAAATTTGCTTGGATAAAGCTTGAATCAAGTGGATAATAGCTCAAAATCAAGTGTAATCTTATGATTATGGATAGATCTTGAGGTTTAGAGGCCTGTAAAACAAGATTGTGCAGCATAGGTTTGAAATTGAATTCTTGTTCATCACAAAATGACTTGTAATTCAAGTGTGAAAACCCTAACTTCATCTCTTCGATTCTCCCTACTCAAGAATGATCTCAAGGAGTTCTTGAACATTTTAGAAAGCTTGTAATGTGCTCTACAACCCCTATTTGAATCACTTTTGAAAATTCACCTTGGAACTATATGAAAAAGTGCCATGAAGTTAGGTCAAAATCCTGACCAAAACTAGGGCAAATTTTCACTAAGTGTCCAATTTAAAGACCATAACTTTATGAATTAATAACTTAAGATCCAAGTATTTTTAGGAGAAGTTGTGTAAATTAATATTGTAGATATCATGGAGATATACAACTTTCATGTTGAAAGTTTCTTCTGAATCCTCTTGCATCATGGTGAAAAATTGCCTCAAAGTTGTAAAAAAATATGAAGTTTTAAACACTTAAAAAAATTTCTAAGTTAGAAAACTTTGACTTTTCAAAATGAAATCTTGACTTTTTGATTTCTTTATGAATAAGTTTCATATTTTGACATTTTTTGATGAATTGTGATCTTTGACATTGAATTTTGACCAAAAAGTCAAAGTTTGACTTTTCAGTACACAGTTGACTTTTGATCAGTTGACTGAAAATTCATTGTCAATCCAATTAATCTTGAGCAATGTTTTAGGTCATGCCATTAGGTCAAAATGATGCAATTGAACTCTTGAAATCATGCTTCAAACCAATTGACCATTTGCTAGGTCAAAAATCAAAAATTGCCCTTTCTAAGTCAAAACCCTAATTTTGACCATTTTGCCCTTTTGATGTTTGATCAAATTTCTTGGGGAATTATGGTCCAAAATTGATCAAATGATACATATGAGTTTATAACGTTGATTTGGATCAAAAATTATTAAGTTTGACTGTAAATTAGCCATAGTTGACTTTTTCCCCCAATACAATTGATTTTTAGGTCAACTGCTCCATTGACTGAGCAAAAGTGTGATCCAAGGCTTGAAACTTGACATGAGTAATCTTGAGGATCCATAATGATCCATGAAAGTCATTTGAAGCATTTAAAGTTCAATTATCCTTGTGCAATCTCAAACCCTAATTGTGGTCATCAATGCTTTGTATTGAGCTGATCAACCCTAGTGCAGTCTTGAATCAAGAGAGATCTTTGTGAGGAAGTATTTAATAAATAAGAGGGAAAATTTTGGGATACAACACTACCCGTCAATGTCTTCTTGAAAAATTTGAACTAACACTTAGTCTCTCAAGGAACAATCAACTTAAGAGTTAAAATACAATGAGTGTATTTACAAAGTTGCTTCTTGAAAGCAGATTACACGAGTTTGAATACAATAAAATAACACAACAATGTTAATAGAAAGTTTAATGAACAAAATCTCCTTGCTTGCAAGTTAACAAACAAAAATTCCTTGCCTTTACAAAACATTACAAATGAATATTTGAAATAGAGTTGAGCAGCATTTCAACGTAAGTTTTACAGAGAATTAGTTGTTGTCTTCAATCTTCCAGGTCTTCCTTTTATAGTAACAAATAAAAATGTTTGAGGGTAGAATAGAAATACTTAATTCCAACTATTTTGTCCATAATGATTAGTGAGGGAGCGGTAGACAACATAGCTCCATAATATAGTCCTTGCGCCACCATATCAGGGTAGTGGAAACATTTGTACCTTGTATTATTCTCTCACGTAAACCAATTTTGATCTTATCTTCTAATCTTCATAGGCTTTTTATGGTTGATGATGAAGCATGCTTAGAAGGATCAAAACCAGAATCTTCAGAGTCTTCAGAACTCGTTCACCCATAACCTTGTCTTCAGAGTCTTCAACACTTGGTCTTCAGAATCTTTGTCTTCAGAATCTTCAGAACTTGTTCTTTTAGAATCTTGTCTTCAGAATCTTCAGAACTTGGACAAACTGAATATCAAAGTTTGAGAAGTCTTCAGAATTTCTTCCAATAGAGTCACGATCAAAAGCTCTATCACTAACATTTATCAGAACCATTGTTATAGAATCATTCTAAAACTTGACTGGGTCATTGTAAACACTACTGGTTTCTTCTAGAGTTATAGTGTGTTGTATTCAGAACCTGATGATGTCACACGCCTTATCTTCAGAGTCAGAACTTGTTAGCAAAAGCTATACACTAGACAGAAATCGTTAGAATACTAAATTGTTCTCTAGGATATCGTATAATGTTATCATCAAAATTTAATGCCAGATGCAGAACAAAATCTTGTTCTTACAGTTATATTTCAGATCTTGGACCCCTTATAGCCATGTTGTTCCGGTGATGTTGAGTGTATACCTGCTTGATATTTGAAATAATTTCTGGGTGTTTTTGTTTCAAATCTGCAAGTATGTGCTTCGGCTCCACTCTGAATAAAGACATGTTCGAAACAATTTCTTTCTCCTCCGATTTAAGACGACATACAATGGGATGACCGATTAGCTTTGTTTGCAATTCATGGTTATGTATTCCATGAAACACATTAGTTTTTCACATATCATTGATGCTACAATATCCGTGCAGTTTAAACAGAAAGCCACACTTTCTCGTTCTGGTGTCATCACGTTTCAACTTTTGAATCGGGGGAACATATGTGTCACTTCTCTTGCATCTCATGGTTACAAATGCTTATCTTTTATTTGAATCATTGTCGGACCTTCCAATTACAATGTCAAACCCCAATTTTTTGGCTACCATGCATACCCAATAAAACATATATTTGCAAGCAGTATACAGTTGTCCATTTATGTATTGTTGACCAACGTCTATCTCTATCAATTTAACATCATCCTTCACTTTTCTGGCTTAACATCTTGCTTAACTTTAACTAGTTTAACAGTATCCGTCGCTACATCGTGTTTTACATCGTTACGTACCACAACTTTGGGAAACATATCTGAGTGAACCATATCTAATAAGAAGCAAAATAGGAAGAAAAAAATTAAGAACCACTAACAGTTGAATTCAGATATACATATCCGAAATAATGTAGGTGAGTTCAGATATGTCTTTTCGAACAAGACAAATGTTTTTCAACTTAAACTAAAGATCAATGCAAGCAATAAGAGATGAAATGAAAGAACTTTACTTTAAATTGCAGCTTATACATCTTTGATTTTTATATCTTTGTATAACACTACATCATACATTATGAATTACTAACTGAAAGATAATATTAAAACTTCATAGTCATCTTTTAAGGTGTGTAAGAAGACTTATAACAAATAATTTCACATTATTTTTTTTATTATGGCAAAAACGTATGAATTAACTTAAATTAACTTTAACTTTTTAATTTTATACAGAGCTAAGTTTGAGACGGTATTGAGAGACTAAAAACTTTATTTTGTATATCTATAAGTTTATTTCAATAAATATAAGTTAAAAAAATAAAAAAAAATATTTAAAGATTACAAAGTTATCTAACCTTTTAAAATAAAGTGAATCAACCCAATCCAAAATGGTATGGTGTCAAGATCTAACCGGATAAAGTCATCCTTTGTGCAAACTTAGGTTAGTGATGGTAATAGAACTTTGCTTGATTTGATATGTTTTAAAAGGAATAAAAAATCATTTATTACTTTCAACAAATGTCATAGTGTGTTTGGATCGACATTTGAAAATGACAGCATCTGCAAAACTGCATTCCAATGTTATAATTTGCTGTTGATTTAAGAAGTTAGAAATCTTGACTTCTATTATTGGTGTGGGACGCGGAAACAAACCCTTTGACTCATCAACTTTGTTCCTTGGAAACAATTTTAACAGTGTGAATTAAATTTAAGGTATTATTTTTCTCACCCTATGAAAACTCAAAAATGTTTCTTATACTCATAAACACGTTTTCGATGCACCTTATTTAGATCATATTCTTTCACTTTTAAAATAAATTTTGAAATATGCTACCTACATTCTGTAGGTATGTATTACCTTAAAAACCGTTGAGTGACCCGAACTTTGCGAACCCAGAGTTAGACAGCTTCTGATTAAAATCCTAATTCAAGAAGTGATAACTTTATTCATAGCTGAAATAGATCACTTTGTAGTAGCATTACAATCCATTAGGTTGACATTAATCGAAAGGGAATATATATTCTCATATCACTTCTAAATTCAAATACATGTAAACATTATAATTAATTGGATATGTAAAATAGAAAAGAAAAAAAAAACAGCTAAAAGAAACAATATCAATCAACTATATGGAATTGCTTAAGAGTAATCCAGAATTACCGGTTACGAGAAGCAATTCTGAAGGAAGCTGCCTCAAAAACACTGGTTTTTAGGCCAACCAATGGCAAAGCTGTTTGACTTTGGGTCGGCAAAGTTTGGGTTAGCCAATGGTTTTCAGGAAATACATGCCTATAGAAGGCTATTTCAGGATTTATTCTAGTATTTTAGGAATATTGTTTTTTTAAGTAAAATAAGAGGGTCATTCACTTTAGAAAGAATGTGGTTAGAAACTGTCAAAACGGACAGTCTATAAACTTAATAATTTAATATAGATTGGGCCATAAAATACTTTAAAAAACACGATTCTATTTTTTTGGATCGGTTTATATGACTTATATTTTTTATGGATCGGACCAAACAGACTTCTGATTGGCCCATTAAAAAAAGATATTGATAAATTTTAAAGAAAAAAAATTGAGATAAGATTTGATGCATAAGTGTGTTTTCAAATGATAAAGAAAGTTAAAGAGAATGAAGATATATTTTCAAAATGATGTGATCAAAAAAATGGTTGTGAGATGAAGAGAAAATTGATAAGTATCGGTGATAATATTAAATTACTCTGTACTTTTACATAGATATTTTTGTGGTATATATATATATATATATATTGATTTGATGAATATTTTAAATATCTCTTATATTATATAATTTTTATCCATTACATTCATTTTATAAAATTAAAATTATAATATTAAAATATGGGTCGGATTGATCGATCAGACTACACGACCTATTGAAAAATAGATCAGACTCATTTTCTGTAGTCTAGTAAACAATTGAATCGAACCAACCCATTAATTCCGAGCTAAAGAGGATTGGGTCTTAGACTCATTTTCTGTAGTCTATTAAACAATTGAATCGAACCAACCCATTAATTCCGAGCTAAACAGGATTGGGTCTAACCGATCCATTTAACAGCTGTACGTGAAGTACATCCAAAATACATTTTTAAGATAATTTTGATTTTTTTTCAGAGAGGGGTGCAAAAGCTCCTTTTAAGGTGAGAGAAGGAAAAGTATCCCTCTAAACTTTATTAACAGAAAATATTGAGACTATAATTTGAACTTAGTGTAGTTTAATATATGTTGGTTTCTTTTTTCTTCATTACAATGTCATAAAAACTCATAATCGACAACGTAATTAAAACCAGATTTTGTGGACCGATTTCTCGTATTGTCTTCTTTAACTATGCCATACATTCTGTCACAATATAAATTGCCATTTATTAACGGGGTGCTATCACTTTGCAAAATTCATGAGAAATGTCCTAGTTTGATTTTCATTGATAAAAATAAAATATCATTTTTACTTTGCAATTTAATTTGTATATTTTGCCATTGTAAATATTTAAATGACAATTTTATCAAATGTTTTTTAACAACCATTTTCCACGGACAATATATAGAAAATAAACTTTTCATTAGTAAAATATATACAAAGAAGTTGGTAAAATCAATGAATTTTCACCATGTATTATACCAATCCTGAAAATGAAAAAAGAAAAAAAAAAGCTTTTGATACTTTTTTGCTTTTGGTAATTATAATTGTGAATAAAATATAATCAGATTTCTTTCAAGGAGGAGGAACTAACACCTTGCTAAGTAAGTAACAACTAACAACTACTAGATATAGTCCATTATTTGTTTCCTCAAAGTAATGTTCAGTCCTACTTGTAATCCATGACCATGATTATGGTCCTACAAATATATAAGGATGGAGGCTGTAGAATTGAAGATTGAAAGATGGGAAGTCCACCGATCAGCCCATCACATTCTTAAATTAAGAAGATAGTTGAGTTGCTATGAAACATACAACATGGACCAATTAAACCAACCCCGCCAGCTTCAGCCCCCATTCTTCTCTCCATGCAAGTTACTAACCACTGGTTTTCAATCTGGGACATGGATCTAAGTACTGCTTATAACTGGTTTTGGGCATTGTCATCTTTTTGCCATGAGATTGAGAATTTCATTGCCTAAACTGCCGGTTTCTGATGCAAGCTTAAGAGGAGTGTGGCCTTCTTTGTCTGCTACATTTGGATTGGCCCCCCTGTGAATGATCGACAACTCAGTAAATTTTCCCAAGTATACCAGAAAATATAACCATGAAACAGTGTATGAGACAATGTATAAGGAAATTTTCCATCAAATCAGCTTAGGTTTGATATTTAAGCGCAACATTTATAATGGTATAATAGTATTGTGATAAAGCAAATTCATGGTCAATTATGAAACCCATCAATTAATTGGATGAGGTTTCAATCCACTAGTATACAGTTTGCAAAAAGAAACGTGACAATAATGAATTAGGGACACTCTCTACTTCCGTAATTAAACAAAAAAAAAGTGAAAGCACATTGCAACAGGAAAGTAGAAAAATGGTACTATCATTATTCAATAAATTAAAAAATAACATAACTAAATCATCTAAAATTCGTTTTCTAGCATCTCCAAGTTAAGTTTTTGGCTTATGCTTCTGAGCAAGTTAAATGTATGTTGGGAGATCTCCAAATACTAATTTATATGTTAGGTGTAGGCCTAAGGCCTAATAAATTATGCCCAAATTATATAATTAGGTGCAATATATTTAAGTAGAATACATAATAAGAAAATTTCTCATTTGTTTGTTGATGGTTTGGTTTGAGACAGATTTAGAGTATGTTCGGTAAACTAGAAAAAGAGTTTTTAGTTTTTAGTTTTTAACTTTTTAGCTCCCATTAATGAAAAAGTTTTGTTTGGTAACTCGATTTAACTTTTAGCTTATTTTTCAAAAGCTATTTAAAATAGCTTTTAAGCTTTTAGCTTTTGATTTTTTTTTTTCATTTATACCCTCATTATTTTAACAAAAATATATTATTACACTTATTAATTAAACATTTATGTCATTTTTGTATCTATCAGCTAATAAAACAACTAATTTACCAAACACTCATGTTAACTTATCGCTATCGGTCACCAACTATCAACTACCAGCTACCAACTATAAGCTATAAGCTATAAGCTATAAGCTATAAGCTATAAGCTATAAGCTATAAGCTATAAGCTTATATCATTAATGTGTATTTTGTAGCTGTTACTACAGGGGGTTATCCTCGGTTTAGTTACAATAAAATATTATATTCATGTGTATTGTTATTCACAGTCTATCATTGGTATCATAGACATCAACGATCTTTGGCACAAGTTCATGGTCCATGTGCATCATAAAATGGAAGCAAGATTGGAGTTTTCAGAAGGTCCTGTGAAGGTTTTGTCGCAACCAAAGAAGAGATTCAAGAAATGCGCAATCTGATGGTAACTAAGAAATATGAATCGCAACACCAAATTGACAAACTGTTCGAAACTGTCTGCAGTCTCACCATCTGAAATGACAACATAGACTATGATACATCCTTGTATTTGGACAGAATCTCTAAGCCCCTGATGAAAAATAGAGAAAACTTACGACTTTAATTGTTTAGGGTCAAAATGCTTTTGGGTGGATTAATTGTATAGAACGCTATTTTTATTTAAGGGGTGTTACTATGAGGAAAAGTTACAGGCTACCATAATAGCTATGGAAGGAAAAACACTCATTTGGTATCAATAGTGGGAACTCTGTTCCGCCTCACCATATTGGAATTTTTTCATGGCTGGTTTGGTTATAAACGCTTTCAACCGTCAATGCTTCAAAGTCTCTATGAACGGCTTTTCAACCTTAAACGGCTCAGTGGAAGATTATTGTGATAGGTTTAAATTGTATGTTACTTAGAAGTGCACAACGAGAATATTTTAAGGGGATTTTTCTCAATAGATTAAAATATAAGGTGAAAACAGCATTGAAATTACACGTGGAAGTATGCTTCAAAATCTAAAGTGATTTTAGTAATGTTTTTCAGTTTTTCAATACTGCTGGGTCGGGCGAAAGTTGGTTCATCCGAGCTTCAAACCTTTATATATGTGGTTCTTTATCACTTTTTTAGAATGAAGAAAGAGGTGGTGAAATCCTAGTGAGAGAAACTTAGAGAGATAAGGATAGAAATCCTTAAGATTAGATTGTTCTAAGAATTAGAAGAACATTAGGAATATCCAAAGAGATTGAGAAACACTTCTAAACACGTTGAGTTTGGGTAATTCATATATTGAGAGTTGGAGATCGAAAAACATTTGGATAGAAAATAGAGTTAGTTCTCAAATTTGAGAAATATCTTGTAATCTCTTGTAACAACTTTGAATTATAGTGAATCAGATAGCTCCTCTCTCCCCAGAGTATATCGGTTTGATTGAACTAGATAAACAAATTCTTTTTTTCCAGTCTTCTATCCTATTCTTACTCATGTGGATTTAGTTACACTATTAGACACATAGATCAGTTTTAATTGAGGACATTTATTTTGATTATCATTATTTTTTGTCTCATACATTAAAGATCTTGGTGTGGTCAAATATTATTGAGTTACCTTGGCCAAGATGATGGGTTTCGCCCAGAAAATTGATGAAAAGAAAGTCATCCTTGACAAAGACACAACACCCATTCTAAGACTTTCACCAAAGGTACCCAATACCAAAACCAGTCAAGACTATGCATGATAAAATGGTAAAGGATTCATGTTTTCGTTAAGATGAAAAATTTGCTCTAGGCCATGTGTGTCGCTAAACAATTTCATGTCATGCATATATGGAAGGAGACAACTACAAGGAATCATACCAAATTATTAAAACGAAAGCAAAACTAATACTTTATACCTTCCAATTATCCATGTAAAATATATTCACATCCAAGAAAACTATCAAGTTGTGGGGATATTGCACTAAGCAACGTGTTTTGGTAGACTGTGAAGCTTCTCACAATTTCATATCCTCTATCTCGGCTCACCAACAAGGTTTATCCTTTGTTGCAACACCTTCTTTCAGTGTGGAGGTTGGAGACGGCTGCAAATTTCATGTGAAGGGTTTTTCACCAATTAACCTTGGACATTGGCCTTACATTCAACAAGACTATTATGTCTTTGAACTTGGTGTTGAAATTTTTTTGGGAATGGATGAGCTAGCACAACTCTTTGGAAATGTGGGTCAACTTTGGAGAATTGCCTCTCAAAGTTCCTACACCATGAGCCAACTTTGGAGATTTGTTTCTCAAAGTTCCTACACCAACAGGTACTCACATCATTTAAAGGGGACCCTACACTCTCAAGGGCATCAGCATTTATGTATAAGGAAATCTCCATCCAAGATTTTATATTCACCTATCACATAATTTCATAAGCAAACCCAAATGTTTCAGCACTACCTGAATTCATCTAATTTTGAAGGACTATCCAGAAGTATTCACCGAATTCCAAGTTTTACCACCCCAACATACTCGAGACAATGCAATCATCTTGTAGAAACGTGTTGATATCTCCATTCAACAATCTTACATGTATCCACATAATCACAAAAATGAAATTGAGAAATTAGTGGATGACATGTTGCAATCAGGAGTCATTAGGCCGAGTGTCAGTCCATACTCTAGGTGTATCATCCTTGTCAAGAAAGAAGATGACAGCTGGCGGTTTTGTGTAGATTATCGAGCCTTAAATAAATGATCTTGTCAAATAAATTCCCTATCTCCATTATTGATGAATTGTTGGATAAATCCATGTGCAACTGTATTCTCTAAACTAGATTTGAAGGTTGGTTATTGTTAAGAAATATGGTTGGCATCCCTACAAAACCGGCTTGTAGGATGAGGATTGTCCCCACTTTTAACGACACATTCAGGCCATATATTATCTGATGTGAGACTCTTAACACACACGTTCACACCCAAGACTGAACATATGGAACGTGGAAATAAATGGCGGGTGGCTCGATAGCGAAAACTTGATAATAGGTGGTTCACCGGATCGTAAACGAGACTCTTGATACCATGCTAACCAAATTAGAATAAAAATAGAGGACATCCCCAAACCAGTCTTTAAAATTCACGAAAGCCACTATAAATTTGTTGCTATGTCTACTAATGCATCTTTTACATTTCAAGCTTTTTTTAATGAAGTTTCACAACCATATTTGCATAGATCACCTTGGTAATTTTTAATGTTATTTTGGTGTACAGTAAAATTAAAGAGCAGAAGAGATATTTGGGGGTTGTTTATACGTTACTCAAAGATAATCAATTAGTGGTCAACTTCAAAAAATGTACATTCAAACAAAATCAATTGGATATCTGGGACACATCATTTCTGGGTAGGGTGTAGTAGCTGATCCACAAAAATTGAGGCAATGCTCAATTAGCCTATCCCAATGGATCTCAAAGTCTTAATGGGATCCTTAGATCTCATGGGTTACTATCGACGGTTTGTTTGAAATTATGAAAAGATTGCAAGGCCTCTCACTCAAATTCTTAAGAAAGACAATTTCGATTGGAATGAGGAAGCACAAGTTTCCTTTGTAATTTTATAGAAAGCCATGGTTGAATTATCCTATCTTTACTATATTAGATTTTTCTCTTTCTGTGTTATCGAGACAAATGCCTCTAACAAAGGCTTTATCGTCGTACTAATGCAGCAGGGCCGTCCAGTAGCATTTCTGAGTCAAACCTTATTTGGTTGAGCACAACAGAAATCTATCTAAGAGCGAGAACAAACCTTATCTGGCTGAGCACAACTGAAATCTATCTAGGAGCGAGAACTTATGGTTATTGTCATGGAAGTTCAAAATCGGAGACACTACTTGATGGGGCGCTATTTTATTATTCATTGATCAAAAAAGTTTGAAGTTCCTCACTAAACACATTTTGGGTGAAGACCAATTCAAATGGACTTCTAAATTAATGAACTTTGATTTTGATATTGTTTAATTTTGTCTATGTTAGAACTGTTATGCATAGCTAGACCGAAGCCCCAATAAAATAAGAGAGTTGTGTTAGGCAGTCAACAGTCAATGTAAAATTTTGTTGAATCTCCATGACATGAATCAAATATGTAATAATATAAATGTTAGGTCATTGCTCGAAAGCAACGCGCAGTATTTCTAGAGTACAATGTCAAATGAGAAAAGGGAGTTGCATCGTTGCCTGAATGCAGT